CCCCAAAACCCCAAAACCCCAAAACCCCAAAACCCCAAAACCCCAAAACCCCAAAACCCCAAGAAAAGTTAATAATATTGAACATTCAAAATGAATAAAGACATTAAGATCGCCAAGAAGCTAACTCTTCCTCCCAAACCTCCCAGTCGCTTTGAGTAAGTAATGCTTTTGGTTTAGCCAACAGAGGTTTAGGGGTTATTGCCAAAGTTTTGGGACATAGGGGGATAAGCAGTGAACAGGCTTTACTTTGATAAGTTGTTTTTAAGAAGCCATCATGAGTGTGGTGGTCGGATAAATATGAGATTTTATACTTATTGATAATTTTAGTGTGAGATTTAGCTAGTTGACTGAATTTGGTTATTTGTGTATTTTAAGAGTCTTATGCTTGTATCTGAGATGGTTTTATACCTGTATAGATCAGTACTTAAGATCAGTGATCAAGGAATATATGGAAAATATTTAAGCAAAGGTAAGAATTTCATAATAATTTCCTTCAAATCCTGGATTTCTCAAAATTTCTGAGCAGTTGTAAATTTATGATATAGTTGCTTCAGGAGTAACTGAAAAGACTACAGTCACTAGTGGCTTTACTGTGGTTAAATAATGAAATGTCAGCTCCTGTCATTCCAGCTAAGGCTCAGAGAAGAAGAGTCAGTCAACCGTTATTCTTGAATAAAGCTAGATCTACTACGGTGAGTGTCCTCATACTAACATTTTAGAGTAGTGAAATTAAATCTACAAATGATCAAAGAATCCAAAGTTTACTTGAGAAGTTCAGAAAGGATCACAAAAGGAATACAAGGAGATCTTTGGATATTAATACAAGGAGAAAGCTCCCCACTCACAGAAGCCTCTCTGACTTGAAAACTAGTCTTCCTCGAAAATTAGTTAAAAATAGTAGTATTGTTGTTTCAGGAGATATAACCGCGCGTAAGCTCTCGCTTTCTATTATGCAACAAAATATTTTAGATATTCAGTAATAAAGTAACTAACCTTGCATATAGGTATACGAGGAAAAGTTCTATTTGACCCTACCCAGAAAAATTCTCATAAAAGAAGTTCGACAACTCCAAGAGCTATCAGCAAGTCTAAACTAGCAAAAAGGAAGGATAATTGAGGCTGAATCATTTTCTAAACTATCCTCATTTTGTACCTCTCAAAGAGTGGTCGCCACAAAGAGACGTTACTCATTATGGCCAGGTTCGTCAGCTAATAATGCTAACGAGATTATTCTTATTCCAATCCCTAAATCATTACCAGGGGTTTTGGGGTTTTGGGGTTTTGGGGTTTTGGGGTTTTGGGG